GTAGGAAAAAAGGCACAAAATGTTGATAAAGTTATACTATGCAAAGAGAGGGCAGGGCACTGGAAGAGGACTTGAAGTAAGAAAACCATTTCAACAGGCATAAAATGACTGGAAAATTCACACGACAGCATTTAATTAAAATTTTCTTTGGTTCCTTATGCACTGATTACCAATTAGAATGCACTTTACTTTAATGTGAGTCTGAAGCATGATTGAGGTTTGAGGTCTTCCATATTACAGAACCAAAGCTCTGGAAAATGCCACCCTTCTCTGCATGAACACAAGTTGCACATTATATTTCCGAGGCCTCGGACTCTGGAAAGACGCTAGAGCCTACGGCCCCCTCTGGGATAGAACACAGTCCTAGCGAACTGACAAGTGCTTCGGCCAGGAATCTGGCTACGACTCAGCTAAAAGTTACGACCAGTTAGCCTCAAATACCTGGACTTTACTATCTTGTAAAGCAGTCTCATACTTCATTAAAACAACAAAAGAAAACCCCATCCCACATTTTGATGCAGTACCAGGGACCTTGCAGCCAGGAAGACTGGGAATACAGTGCCACCTCTATCGTTGATGAAATGTCCCTGATCAACTGTCAAATGGAGATAATTATAGATATTTCTTAGGGTTAGGAAGAATAAATGAGTTTATGCAGATAAAACCCTTGGCCCAGTGGCTAGCAGATAGCCAGAGTCCCCCGAAGGGATTTTCTATTAATAGCTTTGACACTTTCCCTTTCAAAGACTTCCACAACAGGGTGGGACACAATAAAGACAGCTTGCAAGTCATTACTGATGTCCAGGTAGCCCAGAATCAGTCAGATCTGCATGTAAGTTTTAACTCTGGGCAATTGACTCCATTTTTCTGGATATCGCTTTCCTCATGTGCAAAATGAGAAAAATATCCTGATCTTAAAATGAGATGATGGGTATATTGTAAAACATCTAGCACAGTGCCAGGAACATAACACTTGCTTAATAAAAGCTGTCCCTATCATTATTAAAAAAAAAAAAAGCAAATGAGTAACACAAAGAAAAATAATTTCTCCTGATGGAATTTTTATTTTTATATTTTTATTTATTTACTTTTAGAGAGAGAGGAAGGGAGGGAGAAAGAAAGGGAGAGAAACATCAATGTGTGGTTGCCTTCCACACCCCACACCCCCACCGGGGACCCGGCCTGCAACCCAGGCATGTGCCCTGACTGGGAATTGAACCAGCATCCCCTTGGTTCGCAGGCCTACACTCAGTCCACTGAGCCACACAAGCCAGGACTCCTGACAGAATTTTTAATAACAAGGAATAATTGATGTCAGCCATCTGTGCAGGAAGTCAGTAAAAACAGATCTGGATTAAAAAAAATAAAGGAATAGTTTTTCCTCTTCTTTAATTATCAGCAGCTACTATTAATTAAGGTTGGGACTGGGCTGCTTGCTTTATCCATATTATTTCATTTAATCCTCTTAAAAGTGCTACAAAGAAAGTATAATAATCTCCATTTTACAGATGTAGAAACTGAGGCTCAAAGAGACCGCCACTGTCCAAGGACATAGAGCTAACAGATCGGCCCTATTCCAGTAAAACTGTTCACAAAAGTTTGGCTCCAAGGGAGGTTTCCATACCTAGGTTTTTGCCTAATATAGCCAATGCCGAACCCACACTTGCATCCAAATATGGCTGAGTAATGTGTGTTTTTTGTTTTTTTCATCTGCAGGGTCTCAAGCTGGCTGCTCCATTTAAGACAGGTTTCCTGGTGTTCCTGTTGCAGGTCATAATACCGATCCAGAAAGCAACAGGAAATCGAAATGGGTTAGAAATAAACAACCTTTGACAGAAAACGCAGCACCCAAAAGCAGACCCAGTACACGTGAACCAGAAAGCCAACTCTATAAATAAACCACATTGCTGAAATGCTTAAGGCGTAGATTTTAATTGCACAGAAGTCAGGAAATTTCAACGTGGAAGTTCAATAAAGGGAGTCCCTTGGACCCTTTTTACCTTAAGGACATGCATATTAACACTCAGTTCAGCACAGATGAAGTCAAGGAAAGGAGCTGTTACGGGAGCCCAAGTATCATCCAAGAAAATTAACCTCTTCGCAAAAAAAGCCACAGCAGGAAGCATCTGGGCTTTGGACTGTAGCCTTGAACTCGAATCTCAGTCCTCCCACTTACTAGCTGTGTGACCTTGGGTAGATCATCTAACCTTATTGAGTGAGTTTCCACTGCATCTGTCATGGTGATACTGATAAGCCTTTAAAAAGATAATTGTAACAATAATAATGAAATAATAGCTAACTTATATAGTGAAAACTATGTGCCAGAAAAAAATTCTAAGTGCTATACTGCATACTTTAAGTCATCTAAACCTTATGATAACCTTCTGAGGCAAGTACTATAATTATACCCATTTTACGGATGAAGAGACAGGCACAGATAATTTGCCCAAGATTTTATTTCAGACAGTCTAGCTCCAGAGTTTGTGCTCTTAACCACTACACTATACTGTGTGCACAAAGCAGTACAATTATTGACATTATTATTCAAACTGTTATTTTAAAAGCCACTTCAAACACATATTCTTTTTCTAAAGTTGAGGTTCTTAGAACTTGAATTTTCCTATTTTTCATAGAAGGTGCATTTTAACTTTGGAAAGAACGAGATGAGGAACACAGTCTTGGTTTACCCACTGCCCTAGCAACCCTTCCCAGTCCAGCTGTATGTTAGCTTAGAATGTACGTATTTTTATAAATATGGGTATGCACACACACAGGCCCTTGCTGTATATAAAATACTTTCACACTGTGGACAAAAAGGGGGGTTCTACACAGAGTAAGCTCACAGGGTGATCTAACCATAAATTCTTAACTGAGCAGGCCTTAGTGTGTAGTGATGTCCCAGGAATATAATGTAACTTTTTTAGCAAAAGGTTTATCTTTTCCCTAACAAACCCTGTCCACTGCTTCTGTGCACCTAGATTAACACACCTCTGAAATGCTGCTTCTTTCAAGTATCCACTCTCAAGAGCACATAATCTTTTATATATAACTGTAATCCAATCCTTGCCTTGCTTTCTCCCACTCTAATGTAACCTTATGTTTGTTCCCTCCTTAATTCCAAAAGTGTAAAGAAACTGTAAACTGTCATTCACTGGAGCATTTGTAATCTTGCTTCCTGGTAACTTGTCAGTTTTGGCTCAAATAGACTCTTAAATTCTCTACAGGTTTGGATGTTTCTTACATCTAATATTGTAGGAATTATCAAATTATCAAATTCCTACAATATCCAGAGATGTGACCGTCATCGACATCTTGCAAATAAGCAAAGTGATCTTTCATTTCCTTGAATAATCCTCCTGCTTCAGGGTCTTCAAATGCACCACTGAATCTGTTTGAAATAATCTTCCCCCACCTCTTCAATGAACTACCTCCCATTTTTCTTTCAGATCTCAGCTTAAGCATCATTTCCTCAGCGGACTGTCTTCCTCGGCCACCTCCACCTGCCCAACTAGGTCTAATGTCCTGCAGCCCATGTTCATAGCCCCTATATATTTTTTATTGTTAAAGCACTGATTTTAACAATGTCACTCAATATTTGTGTAGTTATTTGATCCCTGTCTGATTCCCTCCATGAGACTGTAAGCACTACAAGGACTGACCTGTGGCTGCCTTGCTCACTGCTGTAGCCCCAGTGCCTAGCACAGTTCCTGAGCACAGAAGACACTGAGTAAATGAGATGGATACATGAATGAAAGTCTAGAGAAATTAAGTTCTTGACCAAGGTCACAATGCTGGCACCAGAATTGAAACCTAAGCCTCAGACAGTTAGGTCCTGAGCTTTATTTCCTACCACTGCTTCAATTATCTTTTGGTTTGCCCAGTTTTCACTTAGAGATGGCAGGACATGTTTTTCTCTAAATTCAGGGCCACTGGAAGTTACAGGATCTGACTGCATAACGTCCCTGGCACAGCCAAAGGAGGGATTAGACCTTGTAAAGGTGGACGAGATAGGAAGTCTGGATTCCAATATTCCTATCTCGTCATTCCTTGCCAACCATTCTCTTTAGATTCATAACCACCTTGTATCCAAAATGCATTTGTGGCGGCTCTACTACCGATATGTGAATTGTATCAAGTCGCTTCTCCTACCTATGTTTTGTTTCCTCGACTGTAAAATAAAGGGTCGGGCCAGGTTTTCATTCTTTCCAATTATAAAACTTTCCAAGATCCTGAGAAATGCAACAGAATGTGGCAAAAAGAAAGGGCACCAAACTCGGAGAAGATCTGGAAAAGGGTCTTGGTTCCAGCACTTACTAGGTATATGACCTGAGCCAGGTCGAGCTCTCTGGATCTCTATCTGATCTGTTCAAGGGGAATGGCAATACCATTTGTCCCGGGTGCAGGTCAATCAAATGAGATAATGGCTGCAGAAGCACTTTGTAACCAGAGAAGGGCTACTGAGATGACAACTGTTTCGCCACTGGACGGCACAGAGTAATGGTTAAAAGTTGAGGCTTTGGAATTTAAGCTGCATTAATTACTAGCCACGTGATCCTGATAAAATTGTCTCTCAGCTTCCGTTTCTGTATCACGGTAGTAATATCTACACCCATGGCGGTGGGCTACTAAGTAGTGGCTACAATTTAGTAAGCGAACCCCCCCCTCACCACACACACACATAGACCCAAAATCCTCGAAGCTCCTAGCTGATGAGACATGTTCCGCCCCCAACCGGAGAGACTTGCTCTGGTGCGACAGGTCCCGTCCCCAGCCTTAAAGGTCAAGCGGGACTCGAATGGAATGTGTCGGGGAACCATGATCAGGCCCCCTAAGATCCCTGAGAAGTCCTTGATTAGAAGTCTCTGGCACCGGGACCCCACGTGTGCGTCGATGTTCTGCCGAGGCCACTCACCAGCTACCACCCGCGATACTGGGAAAACACTCTCGTGAGCACGGCGACGGCTGCGGCGGCGCTGACGTCCTGACGTCACGGGGCGGGGCGGCGGCGCAGGCGTAGTGCGTCACCCGCGGCCTGGCTACGCGGACGGTTGAGGCGGACGCGTCTTGAGCTTGGTCGACCGTGGGGTCGGAGCTTGTTTGGGGGGGCATGAGCCGAGGGGAAGACGCCGAGGCTAAAAGGTGAGTCCGTGCCCCTGCACCACAGCGTCGTCCCGGGAGGGCCTCCTGGAGTAGACTGCCCTAGAAGACGCTTCTCAGGCCCCGCCCCGGATTGTCCCGCCGCTGGCCCGGAAATAACCATCCGCGTAGTGACCCATCGCATCTAGAAATTCGCGGCCTGGATCGGGAAGCCGGGGTTCCAGGCTTGACCCCGCCGTTCCAGTTAGCTTTTAGGAACAAGTGCCGTTGTTTCTCTGCACTTCATTTTCGCCATATGACTACTCCTGGCTCCCAGGATTGTTGCAGCTTAGCTGGGAGGAGAGATGAAAACGTGTTTTCACCAATTCTATTGAAAGTCTTAGGGGGTTGTCGCCCATGCAGACTCAAAGGATTTTGAGAGTCTCATGCTGTCTTGATTTCTCCTTACATTATACCATTCCTCAAAAAGCTCTGTGGTGAGTGGCCACAGATAGTGTCTTATCTAAGCCTCCTAACGACCCATGAAATAGGAATACTTGTGCCGTTCTAGGAAGAAGAAACTGAGGCTCCTGGTAGAGAAGTGGCTCGCTTCGTCAATGGTTTAGTAAATATTGTGTACCCACCGTGAGCCTTGCTAGCACGAGAACCATGATTAAAATAGGCAAGGCCCTGTCCTCTAGCAGCGTACACTCTAGTGAGGGAAACAAGCTAAAAGAGTAAGTAACAGTAAATGAACTGGTATCGTATGGAAAGAAAAAGGTGGCTGTGTTGGAGACCGACAAGGAGCTCACTCTATTACGGAAAACTTTTCCGAGGAGAGGATGCCTCGGGGAGGAGATCGTGACTAACCAAAGTTACACAGTAACTGAGTGCAAAAACCAGAATTTGAATGCAAACCTTTTGGGTCTATTGCCTGTCCCACTAAAAATGGTACCCTCCTGTGATACTAAGTAGCTGTTGGTGTCATTGCTGTTTTTAGACCTGAGGAAATTAGAAGGTCCTATCATTCAGGTCTTGTCCCAAATGTGCCCTGTAGAGGCCTTTCTGCTCCGCTGGCTCTAAAGTAGTCCAGCCCCAGTCTCTGCGTGGAATCACCTTGCTTCATTGTGTTTGCGGCTCTTCTCACAAATTACATCTTGTTTGTTTTGCTTGTGTTTTGTCTTGCCCCTCCTGCAAATATAACCAACCACCCTGCTGGCAGAGGCCTTGCCTGTCCACTGCTCTGTCCTCAGTACCTAGGCAATACCTAGAAAGGAGAACCTCAATGCATTTTTTTTTTTTTTGGATGAAGGATATGTAAGAAAGGAGGAGGAATGGAAAGCAGAGAGAAGACAAAAGGGTTCTCCTCCCCTGTTTTCCACTCCTGGGATTTCATTTATGTGTCATTCACGTTTCTCTCAGGAAGTAAGAGCAAGAGCTACGGCTTACTCACTTCTCTATTGTCAGCACAAAGCCCAGGGTTCAGCGGTCGGTGGCTGCTTATCACACATTGCTGGACAGATTGCACACGGGAGTGGGGAAGGAAGTAGCCTTGTGTGGGGATGGATGAACACCGTCAAGAAACAGCTGCCTCCGGGCTGCTTGCCGTGTGGGGCTTCACAGGCTGTGCCCGGATGATGGGAGGCCATGGCAGTGTGCGCGTCTGTCAGTTGTTGTTATGGAGACAGTTCCTGCGCACTGACTTCCGAGGCCCTTCTGATTACACAGGACACGTGTTTTTCTTGCAGGGAGTTCTGAAGTCTGGCACAGCCCGCCATCTTCCCAGGCCTCTTTTCTTTTTCCGCCACATTATACACTTATTGATGCTTTATTTTATAGCTGGCATCTCATTTGTGGTCCTTTCAGCAACTGTAAGGTATAAGCAGGGCAAGATTTATTATATAGAGACGTGGAAAATGAAGCTTAGAGAGAAGCAGTGGAAATGCCAAAATTTGAAACCTGGTCTTCAGACACCAGCTGTTTGCTCTGTCCTCTACTGTCTCCATCATAATCTTCATCTTCCTTTTTTGTCTGTGAGATGAGACATTTCAAGAACTAAGACTAGGAATAATTTAAGCTAGAACTAATTGAATGCTTCTTAGGTGCACTAGGTGTATTAACTCAGTGAATCTGCACAACTCTTACGAGTTGTTATTCCCATTTTACAGATGGAAAACTGAGACACGGAGTACTGAAGTAATTTGCCCAAGGTTACAGAGCTAGATGGTAAATGGTAGAAATGGAATAACTACGGAGGAAGTCTTCTTCCCCGTGTCTCAAAATAGTAAATTTTGAGCTGGCATCTCAAAATTTAGTAAATATGAAAATAGCTAATGTTTATTGATTATTTACTGTTGTCTGATGCAGTGTTTAGTAATTTTTTTTCACACACTTTTATTCATCCTCACAGTGGCTCTATAAAATAAGAACGGTTATCTCCATCTATATAAATGAGGAAACAGAGGCCTAGAATGTTTAGGCCTCTAAACACAACTTGCTTTCAAACTCAGTTCTAACTCTAAAATCTGTGGCCTTAAATTTCCTACATTGCCTCTTCCATGGGAACAAGAAGCGCTACTGCCGTTACCTAGCCATCTCCTTCAGTGTCATTAAGATTCTCTTTCTGGTAGTTTCCAAAGCTCATTTTGGATGATAGTTGTTACACTGGAGCATCAAGCAGTCATAGAGACTGCAGAGACTTTGGCCTCCTGCCCGGTGGGCCTCTGGCTTCAGAAGAGTGAAGCTTTAGTTTCTACATGCAGGACCACGCCTCTTTCACCTTAAAAGGAAGCTGTTGCTTTCTAGCTGCAGGAGGAGCTGTCCCAAGGGACTTGGTGCTGGGGCCCTGGCTGTGGAAGAACTGAGGCCTTTGAAGGACTGCCCAGGACATGCCCTCCTTGAATAAATGTTTGTGGAACTGAATTTGATGTCTCATATTCACAGTGTTTCTTTTCTCCTGCCTGAATGTTCACATTTCCTGTAGTATTTTATAGAGATTGATGGAAGCAGAAACCAAAACCCTTCCCCTGGAGAACGCATCCATCCTGTCAGAGGGTTCCCTGCAGGAGGGGCACCGGTTATGGATCGGCAACCTGGACCCCAAAATCACAGAGTGAGTCAGAGTCATCTTGATTATTACCTAAAAATTGTTATATTGGCAGTGATGATGTTCAGAAGAATTTTCAAGTGTTTTAGGATATGGGTTAACCCTTTTGCTCATGTTTTCATTGTTTTTAAAGGGAATGGGATGTTGTTCTTAGCTTATCATCGTGTTATCTTGATATTTTGTTACATTTGGGCTCTTTTACTGCAAAGACATAGACTCGAATAGCCTTTAAACTGTGTACTTTTTTCTACTTGCCAAAGATGTTCTCCTGTTTTGAGCTATTTGAACCCTTGTACCTGGTGACCAGGAAATTATTTTCTAGAATGAGCCTGGGGCATGACTCTTTCAGAAAGGAGACGCAAGCGGAAGAACTCTCAGTACCTTCCCAAACAGGCAGCGCTCGACTCGAACTCATGTTAGATAGCCACGGGAGGTCAGGGACCTTAGAGATCACGGCAGTCCCTTTTCATTCATTCAATGGATGCATGAAACCAACTGCCCCATGCTAAGCAGTTTTCAAACTTTTAAAATCTGAGCAACCTTGTCTCAAAGCAATCAGAACCTGTGTATGAAGTAAAAGCTCAGAGCTGCTCTGACTGGAGGGGAGAAGAGGCGCTCCCAGAGCCGTTTGGTAACTGCTGCCCTCTCTGTAACAGTCCCTGGAAGGACTCCTTGCAGCCGCATGGAGACCTCTGGTATGTCCAGCCCTCTTAACCCACCGTGAAGGAGACCGAGGCTCAGGAGGTAGAAGTGCTTTGCCCACCATGGGCACAAAGCTAATTGAATTGTTTCGACTGCTCACTTTCCATTGCAGATGTTATAGTGGAACGGCATTTCTTAGCAAAGAGAATGGAGAGGTTTTTCCCCTCCCTCGGTTGTTCAGTAGGGACAGAGTGGTGGTTAGTGCCAGGGTAGTAAGAATGAATGGATTGAGCTGGATGGGGCCAATGCTTAAAGTAAGCGTGGAGGATATCATCAGTCCTAGAAGTTACTCCTTTGTAATAGTGTTAAAAGGGAGGAAGAAGAGACTAAGGGACCTACAGAGTCTGGGACAAGAGGAGATACATAAAGGGGTGGAATTAAGAGACAGGAAAAGCAATGTAAACCAATGTATCATGGCAGAAAAGGTTAGTTCCTTGAACCTGCTCAAGCTCAAATCACCTAAAGGTAGATATTGCTGGGTCCCTCTGGAAATCATGATGGTAGTTAATGTGTTACCCCATATTATGTGACCTTGGTATGAAGGCCCTAAAATACAGACTGTGCGTCGATATTGCTTCTCTTTACGGCTCCTGGCTTTGAGGATGAGTGTGTGAATCTGCCCAACCTCTCTGTTAATGTGTGTTGATCAGAGAAACTTTTTCCATCTAAAACCCTTGCTGAGAGGGGTGCTCCCGAGCATGGTTTCCATTCCCACCTCTGCTCGTCTGGATGGAAATCTGGGGCCTGGAAACGGTGCTCATTGTTTTGGCCGCACCTCCCTGTAATGAGACCCTAGTTCTGTCCTGCTGCTTGACAGGGAGGTTCCCACGGGCATCCGCCAGCTCAGTTTATTGTCATAAGCTGGGTATATGAATGTTTTCCTCAGTTACAGCATTAATAGGAACATCAAATCAAAACTTTTCCACTGGTTGTTCTGCTCTTTTTACATCAGGCTAAAGGTGGATGACAAGCACCAGCCTGCAGGTTGGGGCCTCACTGGGGCTACCCACCCATGTGACTAGAGATCACTTTTACTCCTTTTCCTCTGTGGATTCCTTATTTGAAAACATTTTCTTCTATTAAACAGATTTATTAAATAGTAATAAATCTCTTTTAAAGACATAACTACCAATCATAGCTTATGATTAGCATGAAATGATTAGTATTACTTCATTTAGTTTACTTAATTATAGCAATGAAAGGTAACCTTTTAGTATGGTAGGTCTTACAGAAATATGTGGTTTCCTTCCAAGTTTTTGAACCACATAAACTTCTGGATCCTGTTCCTCTCAAGGTAGGTAATAGCCCAGACTAATTATTAAAATGCAGTCATTCACAAACATTGAAGGGATTAAATGACGTACCTTATGTGATCTTGTGGTACCTGTCTTATGCTCCAGTCTCAGAGAGTATAATTTGAATCCAGATCTCTGGACTTCTTATGACTCTCGACAGAAGTTTGCAGAGCACCCTCTGGTTTTCCTAAACGGACACCCCACCGACAAACTGGTACTAGTTCCTGCTGCTTCCCATTCAGCAAAACCTTTCTGATCTCTCCTTCCTCTGCCTGTTCATATGCTTTGCCGTCCTTCTCCCTGATCTCTTTTATAAACTGATTTGAATACCCCTCTTACAGAAATGCTTTCCTACTTACCTCTTGTTAGAAGACAAGTTATAGTGTGTTTTTACTGTCATGAATGGTTACAGGAGTATGTAAAACAGCAACAGTTAAAAACTGTTCCACTCAGTTTTTTGTAGTAATCCTATGTGTGTGTGCTTATTAATCATTAATCTGAGTCATGCTCAAGTTACAGGAGGATATCCATCCGTCTCCTCCACGGTGTGTGCATTAGAGTGACTCTCCGTCACTCCGATATCCTGCTTCTCGTTTGTGTTCACTCTGCGGTTGCAGTGCTGCCCGTCTGAGGGCCATGCTAGAGGCTAGGAATGTCGAAGTGACTGACTAGATCTCAGGCATTTGGATTTCAGGGAATGATGACCTGTTCTTATTTATGGAGGTAGCACTTTCCAAACCCATGTTCTTTCTACTGAATGCTGATTCTTGTCAACTACATTATACTTCATATTTCTTATTCATAAAGAGAATATTCAACTAAATGATCTGAATGTTTCTTCTAGCTCTAATATTCTATTAGTTCCTCTTATTTAAGCTCAAACAACCTTGTGAAGCAAGTGGAACAGATATTTTCCTTCTTCTACAGGAACAGTTGTCGGTTGACTTGGTTTTCCACTGCCTAATATAGTGCTCCTTGCACAAATAGATAATAATTATGGTAGTCCACATAATGAAATAGTTATAACCTAAAGCATCCTATTCTAAATGTTTAAATGTAAGGACTTCTTTTAAATGACAAGACCTAATCTAACTGTAAAGTTAAAGCAACACCTCTAAATATCATTACTAATGCCTTCATTAGAAAAGCTGAGAAGTTCATGTCCTTAGATATTGTCTGTTTTCCACACTGCAGTTTCCTCTAAAAGAGTGAATACTGCTTTCTTTTTCTAATACTAAATGTGCTATGTGGAAAGCCAAACTAATACTCATAGCATTAGGCACAAGGAGAAGCATGAGCCAGAATAAAGCTAAGAGAAATTCTAAAAAAAGGGGCATTCTAAATGGATGGCAAATCGTAAATAAAGGTAGTAATGCAAAAGATTGTTGTGTGAGCAGAATATCAGGAAGACCTTTTTTTACTATAGGAGAGGTTGAATACTAAATGATGATGAAAATAGTTGGATACTATCAGATTAAGACAGCCTTTAAAATTCATCCAAGCCCTGACTGGTGTAGCTCAGTGGATTGTGCGCGGGCCTGTGAACCAAAAAGTCCTGGTTTGATTCCCAGTCAGGGAACATGCCTGGGTTGTGGACTAGGTCCCCAGTAGGGAGCATGCAAGAGGCAACCACACATTGGTGTTTTTCCCTTTCTCCCTCCCTTCCCCATTCTCTAAAAATAAATAAATAAAATCTTTGGAAACAAATAAAAAAGATTCATTCAAACAAGTGTGAATTCCATGTAGAAGAGACTCACTGTGGGTATTTAGTAGGAGACTGACATAAAGTGATGTTTTTAGAATGGTATCAACATCAGTAAGGATTAATTGGAGGGGCAAAGACTGAAGATGAAGACTCGCTACAGATCTGCCATTATATGACCTAGATAGTGACAGTGAACTTGGAGACCAGTGGTGAGTCAGAGATGAAGAAAAAGTAATTGAAGAGGAGTGGAGAGTTCAGATGTCTCTTGCCTCAGAAATGTAAAAGGATCTTGCCCACACTGATCACTGGGATAGCCGGAGGTGGGGAGACAATTTGGGCTACAGTAAGGAAACTCGAAAGCAGTCGAGAGTCACCGGGGTGGAAATGTCCTGATACAGACTTTCATGGATAAAGTGGAATGCGAGGAAGAGTAAATGCATTAACGTGACGGGGCAATGTGTGTACTCCTGAAGAAACCCCTCTTTCCCTGTCGGCCCTTCCCTTCCTGTTTCCCATACTGCTTTTCATGACTTGGTTTGCATGACACAATCTTTACTGTTTGCTTGCTTAAATCTGAAACACAGTAAGACCCATCTATTACATACAGAGCATAGAACATAAAGTCCCACCACGTAACAATTTGTGTAAGTTTAGAAAGATTTCTTTGAAACAAAGTGTGCACTAAAAATCATCTTAAATGTCATTTCCTTGGCTTCCTTGTCATTGCCTACGTCATCAAAGTCAAATTCCCGCACTGGGCACACCACTTGTCACAGCCTGTCCCCAGTCTGCCTTGCAGTCTCATCTCTTGCTGCCACTCTCTTCAGTTGATCCAATTCTTTTTCACCTTATGTCTGTGCACTTGACATTCACAAACCACAATTGGTCCTCTTCCTCTTCATGCTTACCTGTATCCCTCTGTGTGCAAGCTTGCCACTGTTTTGTCATTGTTTGATTACGTAGCTCTTCCAGCCAGAATGCGGGGCCCTTGAAGGCAGGGACCTGGTTGTGTTCATCTGGATAGTCTACATGCCTAATATAATTTTTGACACAGTTGATTCAACACTTGTATAGGCTAATTGCTTATCTGAGGAGGAGGACGAAGGGGGGACAGGATGAAAGAAGGTGAACGGATTGGCCAGAGAACATAGATGCATAGCCCATAGACACACAACAGTGTGGTGATAGCCAGAAGGAAGGGGAGGCGGGGGCTGGGTGGAGGCAGGAAATAGGGGCATCTGTAATAGTGTCGACAAGAAAAATAAAGAAAAATAAATTAATTAATTTCTTTAAGAAAGAAGGCCATTTTAAAGACCCATTACAGAAAGCACTGGTTTCAGTTGCTGGTACAGTCCTCCTCCAGCTCCTGGCCGCCGCAGGGCCCGCACTTCCTGGAGCACAGCAGGCCCCAGGAGCGGGGAGCCCTCCCGCACTCCAGCAGCAGATGAAAGTGCTTGCAGATGTGAAAGCAAGAGTCTCCAGGCTTTTTTTTTTTTCCCCACTATCAGCGCTTGCAGTCCCCATCTCCAGGAAGCAAAATAGTAAACATTTCATTCCTTTTGTTTCGGTGTTCCGATAATTTCAAGGAATTATCAAACAAGAAAAGAAATCCTGGAGAAGTTGAAAGACACAGACCTAAGCAGATGTTCCTGGAATCTTAAGGTCGCAGTTCTCGGGCAAAACATGAATGTTAGCTTTTCAAAGAATAATCTGTCGGCATTTTTTTCCTGAGTAAATTAAAATTCATTTCCTAGGAAATGCCGATCGCCTTACCTTCCTGCTATTAAGCAGAATAGAGCTAATGAAAAGATGACCAGCCCACAGTAGCCCTTTAGATTGTTGGGTTTTGTTTTTTTTTAAACGGGGTTGACCCACCATTCATGGCAACTGGCGCAGTGGTAAGGTTTGAATGGGGGTAGTGAGTAAAATGCAGCTGTGAATTAAAGGCGGTGGGGGAGACTCTTCCAGCCCATCTGTCTGTATTTCAGAGACTTACCCTTGCTGTTCACAAAATCAGGTAAAACCAGAAATTTGCACTTGAGGTGTCTCCCTTTCCCCTGATGAATCACCGCCTACATTCTCACTTGCAGTTGAGGTCTCCTGATGGGAGTTGAGAATTTGAAAACCAGAGGGTTGTTTTTTCTTTCAAAATAGGTCTAAAGACCAAATGAATATCCACAACATGCCTGGGGATCCCTGCATCCTGTCCCAGTAAAAGACCTGTATAGTGTCTCCTTGCTCCACTGTGTCAGGCATCTGATCCGGGATAATGGGCTTGCTTGCCAGTGTACGTTAGTGTCAAATTTAGTATAGTGTACGATCCATTTCATACCTGTCTGCCTCCCAAAGGAGATTCTTAGTCAAGAATAAAATCTCGATGTGTTTCTCCTAGAAAACGTGAATATAAATGTGGCTGTAAGGACAGCTTTACTGACTCCCTGTGGGTTAGAATTCCCAGTAATAACAGATTTAGCATGTGGCCTGATACCTTTTTAGTATCACAGGGACAGCATTGTTTAGAGAAAGCCTTGACTCCGTTTGAATAGTGCGGAGGAAGCCAGGAGGAAGGCCAAAGGAAAAGGAAATGGGAGAGCTGTTGGTTTGTCTCACCCTCACATCAGATGACAGGAAGTCGGAATTGAGATTGACCACAGCAACCTGTTAGTCTGTGTCTGTGTGAATAACTTAAAAGCTCTGTGGAAACCAAGTACATTTCAGAGCAAGGAATCCAAGAAGGGGATGAGGGGCAGAGTGACAAACAAGAGCTCGGAATAAATTTCTTCCTTGGCCACTTAATGTTCTTTATTGGACCACAGTCCAGACTATAAACGGTGCCAGCAGCTGAGGCGGGTTAGTCACCCGCAGCCGGATGGTTTCTGGAACTGGCCAGGGTCCCCTCCCCTGCGTGAGACCAGGCCAGTCCCACTGTGGCTCCACTCTGTCCTGATGCTCAGTCACACGAGGAATTGGAACTCTCAAGCACTTAATGGAAGTGCCACTAGCTGTGACTTGGTTTGGGGCAGAGTTTCTCACAAGTGCAATTTGGGTCTAATGACTGTAAAATCTAATAGGGAAGTCTTTCAGGGCTATTTTGTTTGTGTGAATGTGTATTTTTTACTTTAGTTTTGAGATACGGTAGGCTTTCGCTTTTGAAGTGTGGGTGTTTGTTTCTGGTGGAGTTGTAGTTATTCACAAATACTATTTCATTGCCAAGAAATTAAAAATAAATAAATCAACACTATTTTTGAGCTTTTCTCCAAAAGAAAAACAAATGGTGCTTGTGGGCCAGACAGCTGTTAGTTAGGCGTGGTTTCTGTTTGGTGTTTTGTGCTGGACAGACGCACAGCGGTGACAATTCCAGTTCCCTTTCCAAATAGAGGCAAACAGCTCTGTTTGCCAAATAAACTAACGCAGCAGTTTGGAGGAAGGCAGCGGGGGCGGGAGATTTTCTCCCTGGGGTAAATGTCTCCTGCTTTTATCTCACACTTCAGGCTCATTGGCCAACAGACTCCCAGAGCGCACTCATGGGCTGTCCTTTCTCCACAGATACCATCTCCTGAAGCTCCTCCAGAAGTTTGGCACAGTAAAGCAGTTCGACTTCCTCTTCCACAAGTCAGGTGCTTTGGAGGGACAGCCTAGAGGGTACTGTTTCGTTAACTTTGAAACTAAGCAGGTAATTGAACCTTCCCCCGCTCACAGTACTTAGACGCTCTCGCAAGTATTTGTGCGTGTCTCTTGACTGCTAGAATAGCAGTTCCTTGCGGGCAGGAGCCATGTCTGATTCATCCTTGTGTGCCTTGCCCTGAGTCCTAAAGGGGATCCTTGGTAAACAAATGAACTAGTGAATGATTTCCAAAATCTACCCTCCCTTGGCTTGCGGACACAGGCGGCTGACCCACTTTTCTGATCAGATGCTTTGGGACGCCCACATTAAACACACGGACGCCCTCCTCTCTGTTCTGTTTTGTTTTTTCCTTTGGTGGCTGACCAACAAAGCCTCCTTTTCTTTCCGTAGTTCTGCGCTGTGGTGCCGAAGCCCTCCCTGTCTGTGGTGAGCCACCCACAGACTCTCTTTTATTTTAATTTCTTAAGAATTTACCCTTCTTCTCAATGTCTCAGAGTAAGTGCATGCAAATTTGAATATGTACAGAGGAAAAAGATATCCAGCCTCAATCATGATATATACAAGTATCTCAGTTCTCTCTTTAACTTTATTAGGTTTATGTGAGAACATTGCCTAGTTATTATTATGTTAATAATAATTGTATTTGGTCCTGGCTGGTGTAGCTCAGTGGGTTGGGCATAGTCCCGCAGACTGAAACATTGCCCGTTCGATTCCTGGTCAGGGCACATGCCTGAGTTGCGGACCAGGTCCCCAAATGGGGACGTGCAAGAGGCGACTAATGGATGTTTGTCTTGCACGGTGATGTTTCTGTCCCTCTCTTTTTCCCTTCCTTCCCCTCTCTCTAAAAATAAATAAATAATCTTAAATTTAGAAAAGAATTATTATATCTGGATTTTTAATTATAAAAATAAAGCATGTTTATTATAGATAAGTGACTTATCAGCCCAATACCCAGAAATAATCACTGTTAATATTTAGTTATGTTTCTGGTCTCTTCTTTCTTCACACTCTCACAAACAAAACAACAACTCTGGAAGACTTCATACATACGCACACATAAACATGTATGACTTTATAACACATGAATGGGATCGTATGATCCAATTTATCACACAAAGTGTACTAAATGTTTTTCTGTCACCTGATACATATCAACATTCTATATCATGATATTGTGGTTTCTCTGGTGTAGATATGAATATGTAAAAATTCATCGATCTGTCTTTAATGTTTATACATTTTTTTAGATATAACTTAGACCTTAATTTAAAAGCTAATCAACAAGATTTTTGGTGATTGCATATTTCATCATACGACCATGTGTTAAGGTGTTTGACTAATTATTAGCTATTCAGGCTCTCCCCAGCAATTCACAAGTGTAAACGGCACAGTAGCGATGTGTTCATAACTCTGCATGCATATTCACCACATTCAGGAAGATGGAGTGGTGTCAACAAAGGTCATGCGTGTTTTTTCTCAATATAACTGCCACATTGTTGTTAAGAAGTATGTGTCATTATGTTCTGAGATGTCATTTGCCCTGACCAGTGCTGGGGATTTAATTTTTGCAGCCATGCTAGGCAATAAGTGATACATTGCTGTTCTAATTGTTCAGGCTTCAGGGGGAAGCTGAAAGAAGGCCTGCTATGGTTAGCATTTTTAAATACTTGGTTCTTCCTCAGCAATGAGTGCTGAGGTTTCTTACAGACGGCAATGTCGGTGGTCATGCCAGGGACAGATGTTGGTTTGAAAACACAGGCCTAGAGGTCACAGAGCCTAGCCGCCATTTCTGGCTTCATTTGTTCACTTTTGGCAATTCTCTTAACCTCTTTGGCCTCAGTTTTCATCTAAAAATGAGGATTTAAAACCTACCTTTTTCTTCCCTTATAGAAAGTTAAGAGGCTGGATGAGGGTGTGTATGAAAACACAGTTGGCATTTAATAACAGTGTTTACTACAAGAACTTGAAACAAGGTTCAGAGATAGGAACTTACTTCTTAAACCATTTGTCCCCTGTTGGCATTTTATTACTGCTGATGCTACAGAATTAATAGGGAGAGCCATGTAAATTCTAACTCACTACATGAAACTTAAAAATAAAGTGTCTCTCTTAGCTGTCCCTTTAACTTTGTGTGCTACAGTGAAGCAAGGGTGCCAGTGACTATTTAACATCTGACACACAGCAGGCACTCAATAAGTATTGTTCACTGTCATGCCGATGGGCTCCAGAGGAGTAAGACAGTCACCGGTGAAACCAGACGGGAGTGCCTGCTGGTCTCACACTGAGGTCTCAGATAGATACGCTGTCTCCATTTCTCTTCTTGTTCCTTAACAGCGCCTTCACCCCCAGTAAACATGGATTACTCTTGGCCAAATGCCTCATGGATACACATGGAGCAGCGAAGGTTTGGCAGGATGGAAAAGTACGGCCAGGCTTCCTGGGAAGGTCCTAGATTGCCTATTATCCAGCTTCAGGAATTCCTTTCAACCTTGTTCCTCCTGTATCTGATAGGGAAGGGGCCAGGGACTTCTGGCTCTGAAAGCCAGGTGCACATATTGGCTCACACAGACACCTTGCCCACAGGCTCTGACTCACTCCTGCTTTTTCCGGCCTGGTTTTCTTTACTCCCGTATATGTCCTTTGAGGCCATTACTCTTTCTCACTTTGGGCCCAGGGAGTACAACCCCTAGTCCAGGATTCAGGTCCAGGGGCAGTACCATTTCTTGACCTAGTAGGCGCTACCCTAAATAACAGAAGGATGTAGAAAGGTGTCACCTAATAAGATGAGTGTCATTAGCTGACATTGGCTGAGCACTTCCCATATGCTCCATGCTTTACATGTGCTCTTTTACTCCTTACATACCATCGAGGAACCAAAAAAAATGTTACCCAGATGTTACAGGTGAAAAAGCTAACATTCAGAGGTTGACTGACTTGCCAAACACTACACTGCCAGTAATCGACAGAGCCGGAATTTGGATTTGGGTTTGACTGGCCAAAAAAAAACCGACTCATGCCCTCTTGATTATTCTGCTTTTTTAAATATTATAAACGCCTTGCTAGTTGTTTACCAAAAGCAGTTTGGTTAGTTCAGCCGTGGGAGCTAGTGAAGCCCTGGTGAACAGCTAGTCGGGCATTTGAGTTGTTGACTGACTGTCGCCCCTTTCCCGGACAGGAAGCAGAGCAAGCCATCCAGTGTCTCAATGGCAAGCTGGCTCTGTCCAAGAAGCTGGTGGTGCGATGGGCCCATGCTCAGGTCAAGGTAAGTGTGGTGCGCCAGAAAGACAGCCTCAGCTCACCCTGACCGAGTCTTCCGACAGCCAGTGGTCCGCTCACCCATTGGCACGCCAGTCTCGGCACCTCTGGAGCCGCCGTCCTTTGGTCTCCTGCTTGTATTTACCATGTGTGTTGGCAGATTTTTCTTTTGAGAAACATCTCAGGAGGGATTAGTTTCCTTCATTGTTTCCCTCCTCCACATACCCACAGATTCTGGTTTTGATTGATTTTTCCATGTGGCTGATGTGTATACTCAGACCTCTATCTTTTTTTACAGTGGTTCTTTGGAGGGGGGAAAATGTATTTATTTTTAAAATTAGCTGCTTTAGGCATTATTAGACTCTGCTCAGCCTCTCAATTCTGTGAAGAGTTTGAATGTTTATTCTAAATGCTCGAGAAGTAGGCTGTTTGTATGAGTGCTCAAAACACTGGCATCTCATTATGCCAGTTATTTTCAGTTATTTTGGGACTTTGCAGTGTCTGTATTGTCTTCAAGGCCTGAGAAGTGGCACACTGCCTTATTCGTCTCGCAGGAAGTCTCTTGGGAAAATGCACTGGAAAAGCTATGACCATTTAAAAAAATGAATAGTTTTCTGCCCTCGCCAGCACAGAGGTGGTGAAGTACAGGGACTGGAGCAACCCCAAGTGTTGATTCCCTTCCTTCTGCAGTGAGGCCTTGGCAGACCTGCCTGCGAAAAGATTTGTGACAGTTAAAAATGGAGCTTCAGTTTTTGGCTATATATAGCCTGGGTTTTTGATCCGAGACTCTCTACCCAGCAGGCTTCCCAGTCGAGTCAGAAATGAAACATTTGAGCTCAGTGTCCAAGCTGAAAATGCTCAGACGCTTTGGATTCTTACGAGTATTTCAGGTAGTTGGTCCCAGCATCTCAATTTCTAGGGCAAATTACCTTGAAAATAGGAACAACAAGGAGAATTACCAAAAGCTTTTTTACTTAAAAGAAAATCAAGTCTGCCCTGGCTGGTGTGGCTCAGTGGATTGGATGCCAGCCTGCAAACCAAGGTGTCACCAGTTCAATTCCCAGTCAGAGCCCATGCCTCGGTTGCAGCCAGGTTCCCAGTTAGGAGCGTGCAAGAGGCAATCGATCTGTGTATCTCTTGCATGTGGATGTTTCTCTCCCTCTCTTTCTCCCTCTCTTCCCCCTCTCAAAAAATAAATAAATAAAATCTTTTTTAAAAATAAATAAATTTTTTAATGATTACAGCAATTTATTTATTTATTTATTTTAAGGATTTTATTTATTTATTTTTCAAGAGAGGGGAAGGGAGGGAGAAAGAGAGAGAGAGAGAAACATCAATGTGTGGTTGCCTCTCACATTGGCCCCCACTAGGGACGTGGCCTGCAACCCAGGCATGTGCCCTGACTGGGAATCCAACCTGTGATGCTTTTGTTTGCAGCCTGCGCTCAATCCACTGAGCTACGCCAGCCAGGGCTAATAAAATCTTTTAAAAAAAATATTTAAAAATCAAGTCTCATTTGCCAAACTGGCTGTTATTTTCTCATTCTGCATCTCGTTGAAAAGGCACACAGGAGAAATCATTCTTCATCCCTTCTCTCGTTTGAGACTGTGCACCCCATACGTCTCTTGTGATTGTTTTTGACCAGAGGCTCCTGATTGCTCTGTCATATTATTTTTACTTTTTACAAGAAGTGTGTAATTATCTCACATCAAATTAAGCTGCTCTTTTACTGGAGAATGTTTTCTGTATCAGTGGCTGAAAGCTGTTACTATTTTTCTTCTCCACTCAGGCCTGTTAGGAGTTGAATGTTACGCTGGGTACTTTGCAAAAATCTAGCAGAATTTTTTAAGTGTTTTGAATGAAGCAAAATAAATATGGTAAGAGGTGATACGTGACCGTTGAAATAAGAATGTCAGAGGGCAATCCTGCTGTGTATCTGTACCATCTGTGAAATTGAAACTTGAACTTTTTTCCCTACTGGATAAGGAAGACTAATGGCTAGATGGGAGGCTTCTTCTAAACTTCTTTTTCTACACGTATGGCATAGCTTTAAGCCAAAACTGTGTGGAGTTTTGCATTCATTCTAAATGTAAAAGCAGTCCTACAATCATCTAGAAATGTGCCGAGGATATACTGATGGGATTGAAATATCCAAGCCCATGCCATGCTCTGCAGTAGAGGGCTGATTTTTGCCCAGGTGAATAATTCCCTTCTCCTACTTTCAGAGATACGATCATAACAAGAATGATAAGATCCTCCCGATCAGCCTTGAGCCGTCCTCCAGCACTGAGCCCACTCAGTCCAACCTAAGGTAAGACGGTGTGCTGCAGGAAACACAGACACCTTTTCGAGAGCTGGCGCTGTTTCCTCTCCCAAACCTTCACTCCTACTTTAGTAACTCCTCAGACTCTAAATTTAGAATAGAATCTGCTAACTTTTAACAAGTTCAAAGATGTGTTCAGTTAATCTCCAGAATGTGTACATTTCCTCTATTCCCATCCCCCCCCACCCCCCATTTATAGAATTCATTCAAAAAAGACTGGCTGTACCTACCACATAGCAGCCATTGTGCTTGGCACTGGGAATGCAAAGGTGTACCAGACACGGCCTCTACCCTAAAAATAAGCATTTTAATGGCTGCCGTGTCTCTTTGGCATTTGTAATTGCACACTAATGCCTCCCCAACTGTGAGTTCCTTTATACAGAATTTTTGGTTGCAGCACTTTAATTCTATGTACCATTTCAGCAACTGTAACAGTTTGGTACTAGTATGAACAAATTGTCGGTTACCTCTTTGGAGTTAATTCAAAACAGAAGGAACTAAAGGTTGGGTAGAGAAAGGGGAAGTTAAATGCATGGTTGGGCACAAGTAGAGTTTTGGGTTTTAGGGGGGTTATTTTGCACTGTAGCCTTGGGAGACATTTTAACAATAACAATAGTCATGATTTATTGAGCTTACTGTGAAGCAGGCATGGTGCTAAACACTTGACATACCACATGTCATTTAATTATAAAATTCTGGTAAAAGTCCTGTTATACTCATTTTACGTAAGAGGAAACTGAATCTTAGAAGGGTAAAATATCTTGGCCAAGATCACACAGTTAGCAAATAGCAAAGTCTGCATTGCAAACCAGTTTTACTGGACTTCAAAATTCAGTGTTTTAGTTACTACTTCAGAGAAACTCCAGGCTGTAAATGCAGGAATACCGTTCAGAACGCCTGTTCCAGGGGAGGGAAAGAAGACATGTAAAGGAGTGTCAGTTTTTATAAGGATTAGGAATCAGTGCTCGGTCATAAAATCAGGAAAGCCGTGCCTGTTTGGATGGAAGGCCAGACAGAAAACAAACAGAAAAGCCGTTCTTGAGTCCCCTGTGCACCAAACAGCAGCTGCCCAGCTGCCTCATTAAAGCACGGGGGAAGGAGATCCTGGAATGTTTGCAGGAGGGATAAAGTTGGTAAATTACAATTAATTATTCTTGTTACTAATTAAAATTTAATGTCATTGATACTTCTGAATTTTGTGCTGTTTATTGTTTTTGCACTTCCAGAGATTTAAAAAATTTTATAATGACTCCTGTAGATTCACTGGGAACATGTATCCACGATGCTACGTTCCCCTAAGACTGAGCTCACTCCTCGGTTCCAGTTTGGTGCCCACACAGGTTTTCATGAATCTGACGACTCCTCGGAAAGGGTTACCACATTCTTGCTGGGTGATCTTCGTGTTACAGGGACCATGTCTTTAGTGTCTTACTTTCCTTGTTTTCTTTTTTACTAGATAACCTAGTGTTTTCCGTTTATTTTTTCATCCAGAGAACCTCAGCTTATATCTTTCTGTTAGCATCTAGGCCTAACTGGAGGCCGTTTCCCCGAGACTCGCACGGGGTGAATGTCTGGCTGTCCCACTAATGAAGGCAGTGCCAGAGTGCGTCTTGGTAATATCTCGGTGTTCTTTTTTATTGTCACGTAGCTTTTTCATTTACGCTGCTCACATAAAATTTGAGCATGTGCAGAAGATGCATGCCCTTTGAGGAGATCTAAAAGACCATGTGTACATTATCTTCCAAGTTTCTCTCCCTGACTGGAGACCATGGACAGCAGCAAGAATGGAAAAGAAAGGGAGCCGGGGACAGCATTCCGGTCCAAGGCAGCAATGACCTTGATCAGGATGGAATTCCTTACAACTTCTGCAGTGTCCCCTCATTCCCTCTCCCTAACTCAGGGCTGCTCAGCTCCCAGCCTGATGGAGAGGGAAAAGCAAGGCTTGAATTCTGGCTCTGCAGTGTGTGGGCTGTGTGAAACTGGGCCAATCGCTACCTTTCTGCATTTGATTCTTTACCTGTAACATGTGGGCACAGTGCCTGCCTCATTATAAGTACTCTGTAAATGATAGCCTTTATAAACACATATTAGATGTACAGCTACCTTGTTAAAAGAAACTTTATAGGATTTTATTTATTTATTTATTTATTTTTTTGCTATTACTCATTGATTCAAAAGGTGATACAATGTAATAGTTATTGGAATAGGCTTTGGAGTCGAAATCCAACCAGTACCTACACTCACTGGCTGTGTCTAACACAGTCTAAGCTGACCTGTCGGTGCCTCCATAAGAATATAACCTGCCTCACCATGTTGCTTTCAATGCTACATGAACTATTTTTCCCAGTTTTTAAGTGTACGGTTCAGTGGTGTTAAATACATTCATGATATTGTGCAACCACCCCTGCCATCCACCTCCGTAATTCTTGTCTTCTTATAAAATTGAGACTCCACACCCACTAAACAATGACCTCTTATTCCCACCTCCCCCCACCCCACCCCCAGTAGCCACCACCCTGCTTTCTGTCTCTGTGATTTTGGCTGAGTATCTCATATTAACTGGAATCATACAGTGTTTGTCTTTTTGTGACTAGCTTTTTTCATTTAGTATAATGTCCTCAAGATTCATCCATGTTGTAACATGTCAGAATTTTCTTTCTTTTTTAAGGCTGAATAATGTTTTAAATGTATTATGTATCATAGTTTGCTTATGCATCCATCTATCAGTGGACGCTTGGTTTACTTCCACATCTTAACTATTTTGAATAATGCTGTTTTTAAACAAGGGTGCACAAGTATCTGTTCCAGACCCTGCTTTCAATTCCAACACGAATTATTTCTGAGGACCTACTATCTGCCAAGACACACTATGTGTCTTCAGATCAAATGTGACAATACGCAAGGTACTCCTAACAGTGTCTGGGCTCATAGAAAAACCTAACAGGTGGTTCAGGCTTACCTCCTTCTGCAGGCAAGAGCATCAGTCATTCGTTGTGTGCCTTTTGTCTGTGAAGCCTTCGACTGTTCCTATTTGAGTATCTTGTTGCTTTTCTGGTATGAATGAGAGGTACAAGGACAATGAAATACACACGACTTTCTGAATGTACACAGGCCACTCTGACCCTCTGCTTGTCCTTTTTCCAGCGTCACTGCAAAGATAAAAGCCATCGAAGCAAAGCTGAAGATGATGGCAGAAAATCCCGATGCCGAGTACCCAGCAGCACCTGTTTATTCCTACTTTAAGCCACCAGACAAAAAAAGGACTACTCCTTATTCCAGAACAGCTTGGAAATCTCGAAGATGATGGTTACGAATTACTACAGCAGCAAAAGCATATTGGTCTCCACACCTGAAATCCTCTCTGCCTTTGTACTTTGTGGATGTGACTGGTACTATAATGGAGCACAATCACATGTTAGAGTTTGGTAAAATAACATTTCTGGATGTTCATATGGATGTTTCTACCCTGAAGTATGTGTGGAATTGAGCATCATCCAGAATAAACAGGATTGTATCCAAAATTGTGATTTGAACACTGGGATGCTCGGGTTGTCTGGTTTGTTTGGATTTGTAACTCCAGAAACACTATCGTGTGCCAGAGAGAAAGGCAAACTAAAAAATGTTGTTATTTAAATCAGGAAACTAAATTTATTATTGTCTGTCTTAAAAGAAAATAGAACATTTTTCTGGGCTCAAGTGTCTTTACAACATGAAAGAGACAGGGAGGGAAGCGAGAGGTGTTGAGTCATGTTCAGAGCTGTGGTTCCAGAATTCACTGTGGGAATCCCTCCAACTGGACTGAAAAGGAAAAAGTTCTTGGCAAAAGGGAGCTGGTTCTTTGAGTAAGTGTTGTGGTAATCTGTTTAAGAATTACGCTTATTGTTTTAAAATCCCAATTAGGAAAAATATGGCGTATATCTTAAAATTGTTTGTGCCAACAAAACTGTAGAATCAAATTTAGAATTTTGTACCACGATGGAAGTTCTATTTGGAAATCCAACTTTTATTCTATAGTGATCATTTTTAAAAAAAATCTAATCCTGCCTTCTATACCAAATATCGTTAGTAACATGGGACTTTTAAAATGTGCTTAGTTACTGCATGAGGTTGTTTTTACAGCATGAGATGTTCTGTTTGGAATTGTGTCATGGTCAATCTAAATAGGAAAGGAAAATATCTCTGAAAAGATATTTTCAGATATATTTTAGACGTTTCTGTATTGATCTCTATCAAACATTATTGATCATTGTTTAGGGTCTGTGTAGGAGAAACGGGACTGTGTGGTGCGGGGTGAGGTGGGACGTGCAGGGCCGCCGTCCAGGGAGCAGGCACCACTCCCGCACCCGGATGGCGCTGCCCTCGTGTTCTACGTCATTTTTAAAGACTCGACAGACTGCATGACTTACGGCAACAAGGAGAGAAAAATACATCATGTTTATTTGGAAGTGTGAATTAGGAGTGTGTTCTCTTAGTTTGTGCCATTTCGGTGCCGGGTCGACAGCTGCTTTCACTGGGTTGCACTGTTGCCTCTTTACCGGGTAAATCTTTTTTTTTTTTTTTTTAAACCTTAGGTGCCATTCTTAGTGATTACAGACTTTTTTTTTTTTTTTTTTTACCATTATCCTTCTTAGCAAGAGGAAGCTTTCACTATAGGAACTTAAGTCTTCCTGTGAGCCTAAATGAATTCAAGACACTTGATCCAAAACATCAGCATAGGGAGGTTTCAGAATTCACAGATCGAGTTCAGAGAATTTCTTGCCACATTTCCCAAGGTAAATCTTTTTAGGTATCTTTAGGTATTCAGTACTTTCTGCGTTTATTAGCTCTATCTGTGATGCAAGTATCTCTCCTTCCATTTAGGGGACGGTTCAGGGGGGCGGGGGCACCATCCCTCATCCTTCTGGTGACTTCTTAGAGTCTAGAGTTCGCCATTTTATCCTCAAGTCCTCAAAGAGTTGTGTGGAATGGGACTTAATGCAAAATAGTCTTCTATTTTTAATAGGAACTTAGAAAATACTTGACTTTGAATTATCTCGAGTTGTTTCCTTTAGAAATCAGAACTATTTATTTGTATTTAAAGCAATGTTTATTATTTGTACCAACCCTTATGCCTCTGTGTGAATAAATGTAAGACTGTGCGGCTGTGTCTTCTCTCGTCTGTTTTCGGGAACACACCACAGGTCTCCCACGGGCTTGCTTCCCCTCGGGGCTTGGGTGTGCGGGGCGGGGGTGCGTGGGGGGTGCTGCATCTGAGAGGCTTGTCTGCAGAAGGCTTGGCTGCAGGTGACCTCAGAGACAGTTCTCTCCGCCTTTATGTCTGCCTACTTCTGTTAAACATGAGAAAAGGGATGAGCTGTTCTCAATGCACGTGCATTTAAAAAGAAATGGTTGCCCTGGCTGGTGTGGCTCAGTGGGTTGGGTGTCATCCCACCAGCTCGATGCCCAGGCAGGGCCCGGGGCTGGGTTGGAGGCCAGGTCCCCGGCCGGCGGCCTGTGGAAGGCCGCCCGCTGGTGCGTGTCTGGATCACTGATGTTTCTCTCCCTCTCTTCCTTCCCCACTCTCTAAAAATAGGTAAAATCTTTAAAAAAGAAAAAAAATTGCTGTTGGAAATCCCTGAACACATCCTCCTGTGTTTAGTCCCATTTTCAAAGTAAGGGTTTCAGAAGGGTAAACGGGTATGTCATAAATGTGCTGAAAGCAGTCTAGTGAAAGTTTTATAAAATGCAAATGTTAACTTATCAGGAAGTTGTCCTTTAACATTTGTCGCTGTTTTGCTAAACTTAGGTCACTTATTTTGATTTGTACAAAAGGAGAATTCAGGATAGAGGTATGAACTCTCTCTCAATCTCAGCTTCTATTTTATCAAATGCAAACAAAATGTAACCCCAATCAGTTGATTTTCTGTGATTGGCATCTCAGTTTGGGGAAAGAGGATCCCATTAGAAAAGATTTCAAAGCCTGTCAAAATCAATAGCAAAAGCTTTTATTAAACCAAATATTCTACAACCCTGTTGCTTATTAAGGTAAGGACAGTTTTTGAGCCAGCAAGTATAACTGATTTTTAATATTACTGTTCAAAAGGACGGGATTAATTCTTGCCTCATAAATGAAATGTTAACTATTTCTGGTATGTAATCGTTATGTCCCTACAATAGGACTTGTTCCCATCATTTTTATCCTTGTTTTTCCTTTTTCTCTCCTGCTTCTTTCCAGTCCTGCAGTAAATCCTGTCAACACAGGATTTACCGTGAAGGATTCACCTTCACAACACACCTGGAATGCACCCCCTCGTCACCATCGCCAGCACTACCCTTCTGGTTCAAGCCTTGCCATCTCTTGCCTGGATGACCGCAGTGCCTCCCTACCTCTCCCCCGCCTCCCCTGGTGCTTCCTTAGAGTCCATGTTCTGCCCACTCGCCAAAGCAAACCTTTAAAATCTGAGCGTGGCATTCCTTTCCCAGTGGCTTTGCATCACACCTAGAAGAAGATCCAGAGCCCTGCAAGGCCCGGCAGGACCCGCCCCTGACGCGTGCGTGACGCAGAGCCTCCTCCGTAGAGCCTCCGGTCTCCCTTTGCGGGCTGTGTTCCCTTCATGCCCACCTCCCCGTTCCTCCGATGCATGCGATGCATGCGGGGAGCTCCTGCCAAACCCGCCTCCCCATTCCTCCAATGCATGCCGGGAGCTCCCGTCACAGGGCCTTCTGTGGGCTGTTCCTCAGCCCCCTCGTTTGTTCTGGTCCCTGCAAATAGTGACCAAGAAGCCACCTGACCTCTCTTCTTAAATCACAGCCTTGTCATTCACTAATCCTTCCCTTCATCATTGTCTCATTAGCACGTACTAGCACCCCATATTCTTTTTTCCCATTACTGTTGACATTTGATACTATTTTTTATTAGCTCCAGGTATATAGTGCAGTGCTGAGACTTATTCTCCCCACTATAATGCAGAGGTTGAACTATTTACATAGCCTAAGGAGTGATCCCCAACCAGGTGAGTACCCACCTGGCACCACACGTAACTGTTACAGTGTCACCGGCTGTTCCCTAGGCTGTGCTTCACACCCGCGTGACTGTTCTGTAAGTGCCAACTGTACTTCTCACTCCTGTCACCTTTGTCACCCACTCCCACCCTAAATTTTTTTCCCTTAGAATGTCGGTTTCATATTAGCAGGAACTTGTGCTCACTGCTGCATCCCCAACATTTAAAGCAACACCCGGTATTATGATAGCTGCTCAAATGTTTGCTGGTGACGAGTCAGAATCGCGGCACTTGAGAGCTGAAGGGCCTCTCAAGGCCCTCCCATAGAACCCCCTCATTGTCCAGAGGGAAAAAACCCAGAGAGATGAAGAGTCTTAGCCAGGATCACATCGTTAATGTGCAAGCGTTGGGTAGAACACAGGCCTGCGAACACCGCGTCTGGGGTTCATTGTGTCAGCCAATGCCTGCACCCTTTCTATGACCCACAACGCTAAGAATGACTCGTACATGTTTCAACAACTGAGGAAAGAGTCAAGCACACTATTTTATGACACATGAGCATTACATGCATTTCAGATTTCAGGGTCCACAAGTAAGTTGTTTTGGAGCGGAGCCGTATCTCTTCGTTTACTTATTACCTGTGGTGGTTTTTCCACTGCAGTCAGAGTTGAGCAGGGCGACGAAGACCATGACTCACAAAGCCTAAAATATGTACCATCTGGCCCTCTGCGGAGAAAGTTTGCCGACCCCTGCTCTGAACCGTATTCCATTAGTGGAAGTGTCTTTCTAAACCTTTGTGGTGTATCACAGGTCCCGGTGTGAAGGGCACGGGATGAAATCAGCCCAGAGCTGAAAAAGAACGGTGTGCAGTGAGGATTGCCGGCCCCTTACCCCCTCTCTGATCCTTTGTATGTGTTTTGAGATCTCCGGCTCTCCAAGCCTAGCGGCATCACTGCTCTGAAAAACACTATACGACTGCGGACTGAACCCCCTGGTACGTGTGAGGAGCTAAGGCCCAAAGAGCTTTGGCATTGGGGACGTCTGAGTCCGACTTCTCACCACCCCCCCAGGTGAGCAGATCAGTCGGGATGGGACTCAGTTCGAGTGACAGAAGCCCGGCTCCGACTGACTGCCTTATGGTAAGACACGTGCTGGCTCGTGTGACTGGAAAGCCCAGGTGTTCGAGCCACACGGTCAGGAATCTGTCTATCTCCTGATTGTGTTTTCCTCCGGGTCGATTTCACTCTCAGACAGGCTCTCCTTCGTGGTCTCAGGAGAGAGACTTGAATCCCAGGTTTCAAAAGAGAAAAAAAAACAAACAGACCTGTCAGAATGTCTCCCAGAACACGAGGCCGCACCTTCCTTCCTGTGCGTTCGGCCTCACTTGGCTGGGAGGGCTGATTGTATAGAATGCCATTTTATTTCTGATGTGTCCTGTGACCTTTCCGAGCTAGAAATAGGATTTCAAATTTAGCCTTAAAAATAAAACAAGTTGAGTTTTCCTCTTCTGAAAACAGGCCTCTCCCCATGGGGGAGCTTTCTGGGGGGACCACTCAAGGGAAAGGATTGATTTCTCAGACATACTCAGCAGATACCCTGTGCGCACCAGGGTGGAGGGCGGAGGACCCTAAGGCCTGGTTCCCTGTGCACCGTCACGTGCCAGGGTAACGGGAAGACTAGGGAGCTCAGACGATGGACACCTCACCAAGCTGGAAGCAGAGGTGAGGGCATACATAGGTGATTTCCCGGAGGAAGCAACACCTGAGCTGAGCGGCAAAGGATGTTTAAACGTAAGCCAGGCAAAAGTTTAAGAAAAATGTTGGAGGAGAAACAAAGCCCAGTGAAGTGAGAGAGCTCATCAGAAGAGGAGTTAAGGCACTTCCGAATACCCAGACCCACAGGAGAAGCCAGGGAGGCGAGGGCTTCTAGAATCTGCCGGAATACGTACTCTCTCCCCGAACCACAGGGAAACGCTTGCCCACCCAGACACGGCGCCCTCTCCCAGCTCCCCATGGCCTTGTACCAGGTGTTCCTTCTACCTGGAAAGTCCCTTCTGCACGCCTCCGTGTGTCTGACAGACATCGTCCCCCACCCTTAGCACCCCCATGGCTGTTTATCACCTTTCTGCTTCTTAAATACCTGATTCTGTTTTCATGCTTATCACTATATGTATGAGTTTTGTAATTAAGAAAAAAAAAAGATTTTTACTGAAACTAAGATGAGCCTCGGGGACAAGTTGCTTCCTCCTGAAGTCAGAAAGCAAACGAGTCAACCCCCTTCCATCTGTGCAGTTGGTCCTGCAGGCTGTCAAATCTCAGCCCCGACGGCCTCCCCAGCCAGCCCACCAGGATGCCTCTGGTTCCCGTCTCAGCTCCAGCCTCTCCTCTGAGCTGCAGACCCACACGGCCAGCTCACCCAGGGCACCCCCACTGGAACCTCCCCCGGGTACACTGAACACGGGCTGAGCTCATTATTCCCCCACGTCCTTCCCCAATGGCACCTGCATTCCGTGTCTTTGGCAACAACATGATGAAGATACATAAATAAATAAATAAATAAGACAGAAACCCGGCATTATCTTTGACATTCTCTGCTCTCCCATTCCCATGCCCAGTCTCCTAAATGATCAGCTTTGTATATTAACATTATAGCTATTACACAGAATCACATTGCATCTATAATATATGTATTAATATTATATAATTTGATATTATATCAAGCTTTATTTAATATGTGGAAGTTATTTAGGCAACTGGATATATTAGATTATATGTAGATATGTGTATATAGATAAATGTATAGTAGTTAATAAATGTTATTTATCTACAAATGTTATGGATAAATGTATATAATACATGACCATATATAACAATAAAGTAACACATAATAATTGTTTTCATTATATTTTCTTTTTTAAGAGATTTTATTTATCTATTTTTAGAGAGAAGGGAAGGGAGGGAAAAAGAGAGGGAGAGAAACATCGATGCGAGAGATACATCGATCAGTTGTCTCTCACGTGGCTCCCGAGAGACTTGGCCGGCAACCCAGGCATGTGTCCTGACTGGGAATCAAACCGGCGACCTTTTGGTTTGCAGGCCAGCGCTCAGTGCACTGAGCCACACCTGCCAGAACTTCACTATATTTTCTTTGCCTTCTTC